GATGTGGTGGTTCATGCCTGTAACCCAGCACCTTCGAAGGCCAAGGCAGGAGTATTGCTTGAGGTCAGGAGTTAAAGAAAAAAACTGAAAAACTAAATATAATATTCACAGCTTAATTTTGTTTCACATAATGGCAAATACTGGACTATTTACTTCTAGTACACTCCACCAAGGGTGAAGAGAGAAATCTCTGTCATCAGAGCAGACTTATGTGTTGGGAAAGCCTAAACAAAGTAGAAATCAATCTCCCCATTTCTCTGACAGTTCTTATTCTCAAAAAGTCTGTTAGAAATTAAATGCTGCTTTTAAATGCAAGTGTTATTTTAGCAGTGTATGACTGGTATAACAGCAGCAACATGTCACATCTCAAAGTCTAACTCTCCTGCTGAGTAAATTACCTCTATTTCCTGTAACTGCTCCTGATTGGTTGTATACATCTGCTGAAGAGATTCCTCCAACTCTGTGTTCCGATCCAGTAATGTCTTCCCAAGCTCAGCAGCAAGCTGGAGATCTAGCACAACAAATGAATCTTAGAATACAAATGATCTCATGTCAATATTTTACATAACTCAGTCCCTCATGTAAGTCCCAACACATAGTTTAAGTCAGATCCCAATGGAAGGTGGAATAGCACAGAAGGAAACCTGAGTTCTACTTGAAATTCAGTTAAACTGGAGCCTTCCAGCAGGTACTCTTATGAAGCTGTACTTGTAAGATATAAAAAATAGTAATCTACTTTACAGAGATGTAGTCATTAGTTCAGTAATGATCATTCGGCATTGCTGACTTCATAGTTATTTGCTAAGGGAATGCACATACTCATATTCTGACAGTCTATTTTTCTGGATGGACTCTTGAGCCAAAGTATAGATAAACCTTTCAACAATCTTTCAATAATCTCTGAAGTTCCCATGAATCTGGCTGCTATGAATACAACTGTCAAAGTAAAGTTTATTGTCATATATCCTGGATTCCTAAGGGGACTAAAAATAATTAAGTCAAGAAAAGGAAAAATACATCAGCATTAAGAACACTGCCCCAGGTCTGTCTTTTTTCCTACATTTCTTCATGTCTTTCTATAAGATGAGCAAACCAGAAAAGCAAAGGAGCAATATGGTTTCTGAGGTAATTACATGTCAGCAGCTCATATTTCCACTTAGCACAGAACCACATTTTGTTTTAAATCTCATTTTTTCAACTCTCTTTCTCAGGCAGATACGCATATAAAACAGAATTTTTTTATATTATACTCAATCCCAGAAATGAAAATTTAGTAACAATACAAAAAAGGTCACTAGTTGTAACATAGGTAATTGAAATAAGCAGAGTAAATTTTACAGAGCAGTCCTTTGGTACAGTGAGAAATGCACTGTACTCTGTACAGGAAGGTTTAAGGTCCGGTTCTGACTACCATTTACCAAAACACTTTCAATATGGTGACTTTAAAAGTCCCTACACTGGCCGGGCGCGGTGGCTCATGCCTGTAATCCTAGCTCTCTGGGAGGC